TTTTTATTAAATAATTAAAAAAAATTAAGCAATGTGCAATTTTATATTATAATTATTAAACAAGCGCATTTATGCACTTTAAGCACACAACCATACAATAATAGCTATCAAATGTCATTAATATTTACAAGTATATAAACATAATTKCATWTRCATACATATAYATAATTACAGCAAATATACATATAYATGTATGTGTGTARAGGTGMTTTCTTATGCAGCCACAAGCATGTATATCCTTGCCTAAGCGGCATGCAACACCTTTTCGTACGCGTTGCTTACGATTATTTAATTATTTTGACAAGCGCCTCTGCTGTGTTGGGCATTTAAAAGGATTGATTGCACTGCAATGATGAATAAATAAACAAACAGCATTGAATTGAGTTCACAACTCAATTTCGACAAGATAGTAAAAGTGCTGTTCTCTTGCATTTGTTGTTGTTGTGCGTTTTCATTTTTTTTCCCACTGTAAACGCAAGCAATTTTGACTTTAAGCGCGCACAACAACAATGGCGTATATGAAGTGCATGCCATTATAGCCAAAGACATTAATAATGTGAAAGTGCATAAAAGAACGCAAAAGCAATAAACACACGCACACACACRTACCTACATGAAAGCAGAGGTGTACAGATTTACATATGCGCACAGCTGCACTCGGACAATTTATGCGACCTGCAGTTGTATATGCAAATGTCTGTGTGTGTGTTRCTTTTGTTGTTGTTGATTGCACTGCTTTGCTGCTGTTGGCCACACACACATATATGCAAACACACGCCACGCCGCTTTGCCGCAATCAAAGCAATTGCAAGTCAATATGTGGTGCATACTCACACATACATGCATATTTATGTCAATATGTGACTGTGTTGTATATATATATGTGTGTGTGTGTGTGTGCGCTTGTAAACAACTTTCGGCAGGCAATTCATCATTTTTCCGCTTCAATCAAATATAAAAAAGTACACCAAAAAACAGATGGTACCGCCTGCGTGGTTGTTGTTGTTGTTATAGCTTTCAGGTACTCACTCAAAAATAGCTACAATTTTTATTGTAAACAACAATTGCCAGCATATCTGCGTTTTATTACTTTCATAATTTGATTTGGTGTTATTGTTGTTGTTGTTGTTTTCTGTGCACCTAAAAGCCACACACACAGTCATACATACATACTCAAGCACGTAAGTGCAGACAACATGCCAGTAGTGACGCCACACTAAACAAATCACAGTCTAATTGCTGCCAGCTGCTCCAGCGGCTTTGTCTCACCTGTTGTTGTCTGGGCGAAATAATAATTCGCCTGAAAATAAAATTGGCGCATGAAATATATGCATGCATGTATGTGCATGTGTGCAATTGGGATTTTGCAGTTTTCACAACCTTCACCTCTATAATTAGCGAATTTCGCACGAAAATTTATTTTGATTTATCCACCATATTTACATATGTTTGTATTGCCATATGTACTGCCACGTAGTAGTGTGTGTGAGTTGTGTTTATGTTTGTGTGCGAATTATAGTTTGTGGTTACAATGAAATATGCAAATTYACTAGAGTGTTCTCTAAAGTCTATTTTCTCAATATCTGGTTAGCATCCATCTGTCAGTTAAGTGATGATTACCTTAATCAAGACGCCTTCTTTCGGTAATGTTAACCAAAACTTAACTGACAGATGGTTACTACCCATCTATATTGAGCAAATGGCCTTAAGTATTTTTAAATTTGTTCGTAGAGATATGCTATATAAAATTTCTTCCTCTCAGAAATCCAAAATAGTCTTCCTTGGCCCCAAAAAGTAGGCAATTTAGTCAACTTACTCATTATTCTTAGTGCACTATGTTTAAAGCCTCACTTGGCGCCCCTATATTATACACTATTAAACCGAATCACATCAATTCCTAAACTCCTCAAGACCTGAGCACTGGTTAAGGGGCTATACTCAGCACTTTGTGAGTTTCACAAAATCGATTTTTTCCTGTATTTTTCTTTTATTTTAATGAATTATAGAAATTCGCTAAAGATTTCTYTAAGTGCTTTTGAATAAACTTGTGAAGATAGCTATTTTGCACAGATGGTGAAGCTGTACCTCTCGAGAAAACAAAAAAAAATTTCGTAGGCGCCAAAAAGTAGGCAACTTAGTCAAGTAGCACATTATTTTTAGTATATTGTCTTAGAAGGCTCCCATGGGGCCCTATATTGTACTCTATTGGACCTAACAACATCAATTCCTAAACTTCTCAAGGCCTAAAGAGGAGTTATATATCCCTGTGAGTTTCAAAAACTCTATTCTTCCCTGTTTTTTTTTCTTTTGGTTTGTTTGTTCCACAAATATTTAAAATAATTCTCTGAAAATTTTTRATGGAACTGGCAATTTGGTTCGGAAATACAAACATATTTCTATGCATGTGTTTAACTTTATATAATCATAACCGAAACCTTTAAATAAATTTTTCTCGAAACACTGTTTTACATACGTATTTGGCAAGTTGTGATG